CTTCTACATATAATGCACTGATAGATCTTCCCCAAAAACAATAAATAATTTCCAATAAATTTGCGTTTTTGTCTTAGACGCACATTCCAAATTGTTATAACACTAATTACAACAAAATAGTATTTTTGGATATATTTTCTGCTTCCTTCTGCAAACTGTATCTTTACTTCTCCTCATTATCCTCCACCTCGTGTCCTAAAGCTCTACTCTTCCCCCCTCCATCCCCGTCACTGTGTCTGTCAACAGAAGGCTTTTAACCTCTGTACCTTGGAGGTCACGCTGGTCAGATGGGTTTAAGTGCTTTAAGTGTTTTCAGTCCAGTTAAGACTAACAAACAAGACCAAAGAAGACACAGTAATCCCTTTTCCTCTCGTTTTCTTTTTCTTTTTTTTTTCCTTCTCTTTTCATCATATATTCAGCAGCATCTGGTCAGGTCAGAGCAGGGCTCTGGGCATCAAACTTGTACACACCAGGTAACGTGTCTGAGTTCAACCCAGTGAGACTGTTCAGACTGGTCCCAGTGTTTTCAGGCACATTAAGCCATTAGCACTCCTTCCAACAAAAACAAACTTCATAAAGTAGACTGAAATCCCCTTCTTTACTACTGTACCTCTCCTTTCCTTTAAGCCCCCCCCCCCTTTTTTTTCAAAATTTCTCAACATCTTTTTTCCACCTTTAACAACTGTTTGCATTTGCCATTTCTTCACTGCTCCTGCAGCTTTTTTTTCATTCATAAGCATGTTTAATAAAGCTTTAACTGCTTTAAGCCTAAATTCTCTAAAGTTTTTGTTTATATTCATTGTTGTTTGCTGTCAAATTTGTATCAGATTTTAAAAAAATAAAATCTGCAATGTGAAGGAAAATTCCTGTTGAGTTTTGTCCTGAACACTAAATACTGAAATAATTTGATCAAAGTGAAAAATATTGAGAATGGATGAGAAAAACGGAATGACTGATGTAAACTAACCCAATTTTTTTTTGTTATAATTCAGTGTTACACAAATTCCTTTGCTTGCATTGTTTTATGATCACAGAATTTAAAGATGCACATGTACTGAATAAGCAGTACAAGTCTTCCACAAACAAGTACATTTTTTCTTTTTTGAATTATTTTATAAAGTCTGAAACTGGATGGCGGAGGAGTAAGACGCATGTCGCGTGGGCTCCCGCTCCGACTTGTTCAGTTTATGGTTCTCTACTAAATGTCCTTGCTGTTTTGAGCATTTGGTCTGTCCGGACTCGACCCCTGAGTGATTCTTGCTTGGAAGAGTAGAAGAACGGCGACAAACTCGAGGAAAGGCAAACATTCTAGCTCTGCGGCTGTTAGGCCCGATGCCACCTCGGAGCAGGCTGCAGCTAAAGCCGGACTTTCGGCTCCTCCTTCTCCCTCCCGCGGCGAGGTGGACGCACTCTCCTTGAAGTCTGACATTCTTGCCYCTATAAAAACCYATCTCTCAGCTGTGATCAAATCCGAAATAAAAGCGGCTTTGGCTGAAGAGTTTATTCTTATTAAAGGAGAGCTACAAGCGGTGAGAGCGGAAGTGGCTAACGGCACAATGCTACTGCACACCGACCTGGACCACCTTAAGCAAAGCGTAAAAGAGGTGGAGGATGGCTTGTCAACCTGGTCCGATGAGGTTGTTTCTCTACGCACCACCGTCTTGAAACTGAGGGACGAAGTCAATGGGCTCAAAAGGAAGTGTGACGATATGGAAGGGCGCATGAGAAGGTGCAATGTGCGGATTATTGGAGTTCCTGAAACACCAGAATCCAGCTCCACTACAGCAGTGGCTAAACTGCTAGCAGAGGTTCTACAGATGGATAAAGAGCCACTGGTGGACCGAGCCCATCGCTCTCTAGGTGGGAACAAGTCAGGCGATAAGCCGCGGGTCATTGTTGCTAAGCTGCACTATTATCAAGAATGTGTGGAAATACTGTGTCGGGCTCGGAGTCGTGGTCCTCTTCGTTTTAAGGAGGCACCGATCATCATCACATCTGACTACACGGCGGCTGTGGCCAAGGCTCGTGCGGCGTTTACAGAGGTGAGGAGGCTTCTTCGCAACTGACGAGATGTTTGCTACGGCCTGCTTTTTCCTGCACGGCTACGCATCTCTCATGGGGAGGAAAACAAGGAGTTCCTGGATGCCAATAAAGCAATGGACTATGTTAAAAAGAGGATCATCTCAGCGACGGACAACGAGGACCGGCGTTGACCGCAGGTCCAATCCTCATCCATCCATTATGACTGTCAGGTTGTAATGAACCTTCCAACTTTATGTCCCGCGTTATATCTTGATTTAATTTTAGACTTTATTCCGAGGGACAACATTCCTCTTTTTGTTCTATGAATGAGAGTTTCACAGGGGGTCTGTCCAGATCTTGGTTAGTGATTTATTTATCAGCACTGCAAGGAGCATAAACAGTAATAATACTTTAAAGTAAGGGAACCCCTTTTTAATTTTATTTTTTATTTTTTTGTTACTGTTATTTAGTTGTGGCGGGAGTCCAGGCAGGGAGTTAAGTCCCCCAGTATAAGCACAAATGTGTGGATTTTTTTGTTTGTTGGGCTCTCTGTGTTTTTTTAGGAGAAAGGGGTGGGACTATGCCGGATCTATTTGTTTTGAGAATGTCTTTTTCAGGTTATTTTTTTATGATGCTTTGTGGATATTGTACTACAGTCCGATTGATCATATATGAGCAGTTCTAAAATTAACAGGTTCATCAACAGTCACCCAGTTAACTGTGTGAGTTGGAATGTGAAATCCCTCAATGGTCCAGTGAAATTTAGGAAAGTTATGACATATTTAAGACAACTTATGCTAATATTACTTTTTTGCAGGAGACCCATTTGTGTAAGGCAGACAGTGCAAATCTAAACAGGCACTGGTCTGGTCAGGTGTTTCAGTCTAATTTCCAATCTAAATCTAGATGGGTAGCCATCTTAGTTAGTAAACAGGTGCAATTTACGACATCCAGTGTTAAAACGGATGCTGCTGGACGTTATGTTATTGTGGTGGGAAAACTATTTGCACTTCCAGTCATTTTAGTTTCGGTATATGCTCCAAATTGGGATGACCAAACATTTTTAATACGCTTTTTTCAAATTTACCTAATATTTCAACACATAATCTCATAATTGGGGGAGATGTGAACTGTGTGCTATCATCCCTCGATAGTAGTAAGTGG